TGTGCTACGTCGAGCCCCTTCATGTAGCCGCTAGACATTGCTCCAAACACATCCTAAGTAATGCGCCAGAAATAATAGAGCAGCAAACTCAAACACACCACGAATACACCGCCGGAACCATTGAAAAAGCATTGCCGGAAGTGCCGCACCGGAAGTCTACCGGGGTAGGCTGTTCAACGGGAGGCAGTTTGTTTACAAACACCAAAACCATCTATACAATGAAAGTGAACAAACGAATTGCCTAACATGGACAAGTGTAGCCACCTAGTGTCAAAAACATAACTATTATGAGTATAGTAGTCATGGGTTCCATGCGGGACCACTTTTTGTTGATGAAAGGCATAGTATTGATGAGTTCTTATGGTACAATATCTCATTCTCGTATGACGAGTTATTGTGAACACAGTAACGATTGCCAGTTAGGGTAGCACCAATCCTACAGGCAGATGTTGTGCACAGGCAACAATCACAACGAACTTGTCATCTTCCTGTTCCCCATTACATCACGAAGGCATCAGCGGGGGCGAATGGGTTAAAGGGATGCTAAAGAGAAGTGGTAAATCACAAAGTGTTCTTTAAAGCCCAATTTAAATATGTGGTGCTTTACGTGCTGAAATCTTGACATGATTGTTCTGAATGCCGTAATTGAGGGCTCTAGAAGTGTAAACCATTGCATGGTGTTCTTTTATGTGCACTGATGTCGTGAGTGCCCAGGCCTCCACCATTTCGCCACTATAGAAATGCGACTGCTGCAGCTGGAATCCAGCTTGTGATTGTGGGGTCAAGAGTTAAGCATAGTAACAACTGTACCACCATGGCAGACCTTTAAAGCTCCATTCTCTTTAGCTTTAGATGATAGGTTGATTACTTCAAAAGAAAAAGGAGGCATCACGTATTGTCTCTTACCGAAACCTTTTCATATTTTACTCACTTAGTCTCAGTAAAACATTCTTGATGCTTGCTCAATTCATTCGTTTGCTACTGTAAAATAAATATGTCTCAAAAAAGCAAGAAGATCAGCTAGGCCCGTGCAGGTGCTGTCAGAATCTATGAAAATACGGTGAGCTGGCGCAGGAATGTCAGGGTGGTCAGTGAAAGAGTGCTGCCATTTGTCAAACCTGTTTTTGTTTATAAGAAGGAGTGGGAGGGGAGTAATGGTTTGCATTTGAAGTTCAGTGCTTTCCGTAAAATGACATGCATGTTCTTTAGACATCCAGCAGGAGGAGGAGGATTGAAAGAGGAAGGACAGGGAGGTTAGCCATTTAGGCATCCAGTTTTGTATAGCACTGTTGTGCTGAGGACAATGCTTTTGCGGCTCTATTATTACTACATGTGATGTAAATACCAGATGTGTACGTGCTGGCCAGCTGGGCTTGAGTCTCTCGTTCTCACAATTCCGCGGCGCATGCCCCTTTCCCCTGGGGGAAAAGGTGTGAAATGCTTTCGTATGTTCTCGACAAGCCTCTGTTCGGGTGATTCTGGTTGTCCAGGATAATTGTGCAGAGCTCTGCCTCGCCTACCAATACGGCAGAGGCAGCACAAAAAATTAAAAAGGGTGGATTTCCTGGCAGGGATCAATTTCAGAATCAAAGCAACAGACATCCTCATCCATGAAAACACAGTCAAACCTGAGTATACCAGAGAGGAGACTTTGGCACAGTTGTATAACAACTTGAACTAGTACCGTAATTACTCGAATCTAACGCGCACCTTTTTTCCGGTTAAGCGAGTTCATAAATCGCATGCGCGTTACAATCAAGTACGAACAAAAAAATTACGGTCAATCTATTGCCATCGCAAATCCAAAATGGCCGCCGCCTACGTGCGTCGGCATGGTGCGTCGGCTATTTCTGCCTATGTGTTTACCATGTGCGGCACTTCGTACGTGTGCTGAGGAGTTCGTCATCTAGTAGTGCATTAGCATCGACGACGTGGAAGGGCCGACTCCAAAAACTCGAGTGCACCACGATGCCGCTTTTAAAAGAAAAGTCATCGCGTGTGCAGAAACGGACGGAAATCGGGCCGCATCGCGGTCGTTCCCGAAACGTGCGTGCGGGACCGGCGGAAACAAAAGCAGAAGATTGTCGACAGCAAAGCTTCACGCAAAGGCTTCAGTGAACCACAGCAGGGTCGGTTTCCGCAAATTAAAGAGCTGCTCGGCGAGTATGTGCTTGAGGAGCGAGCGGCACAGCGGCCATGACGACAGAACTGCTCCAAGTGCGGGCTATGCAATTAGTCTTAGAAAAAGGTCTAATGCGGAGCCAGTTTAAAGCGAGCAGGTGCTGGCTAATCAACTATATGAAGAGACGAGGCTCTTCCCTCCGAAGGGGAACATGCATATGCGAAAACTTTTGCGGAGAAGTACGATGAAAAGCTTTACAGTTTTCAGAGGTTCGTCCTAAACTTGCGGCGCAACAACGGCTACCTGCTTGGGCAAATCTGGAATGCCGATCAGACGCCTCTTTACTTCGACATGCCTGCGAGAAGAAGGGGGCGAAGCAAGTTCGCGTGCTGACATCGGTCCACGGTAAAACTACAGTGACGGCAATGCTCTGTTACACGTCAGATGGGCACAAGCTTCGCCCGTACCTCATATTTAAATGGAAGACAATTCCGAAAGGAATCGTTTTTTCGAGTGGTGTGATCGTGCGGGCCAGCGAAAAAAAAAAAAAAATGGGTGCGCGCTACAATCGAGGGCGCGGTAGAATCGAGTAAATACGGTACTAGGTATGTGTCTCTGAAGCTAGTATGAAATCTTTGCATGCCTCTTACTCTGTCTTGAAATTCAAATATTGGAAATTCACCTATTGCTTTTGCCGAGGCCTCATTTATGGTGTAAGAGGTCACTTATCTATGTTCTCATTTATACCCATCCGAGGAACCTGTCTATCTGACCAGTAGGTATTCACGTTCGTACAAATGCATGGCAGTTTGGCAGTCCTCTTTCTGTTGTCGAATGGCCACAATTACTCTGCTTCATTGCAAGTACTCTCAGTTAGCAGTATTCTTTACATGCATTCAAACACAAACTTAAAAGGGGCATTTTTTATATTTGTCCTACTGCAGTCGCTTGACTTCGGGACCCTCGTCGTTATACTACGAACAATGAAACTATGTATCTTGAACAAATAATAAACTGAAACTGAAAAATCTGCCAGTATGGAACGCACAACCTCGCTGTAGGAGCTGTTCATATTTGGAGGCACACACCTTGCTAGTTTTACCTCTCTGTTTTGCACTGCCCTTGAGGTTAATTGCTGTGCGTCATGACATCTGCAATGCAAAGACTGTTCCATTAAGTCATCATGAATATTTCCGATGACAAATGTAATTGTGGGGCACCTGTGAGAAGAGCACTTGCAGCGGCATAATGTAAATGGGTGTTCCAACATATGCATACTGTGGTGCTATGCCCTTGCATGGCATTTCATAGGGATATTACAGCAGCTCCGTACAGCAAACTTTGTGTATGCATGCTTTCTGTTCCTGGGTTCTATCTCCTACATACTGGACGAGCACTGTCTGTGACCTTTAGACAACGTCTAATTGACTCAACTTGAATTGACGAGGCTTATGGTCCGTTACAACCTACAAAAAATGTTAGCTCAGACCACAGTCGTCGCGGTCCCTCCTGCACAGAATTTGTCCATCCAATAGCGTTTACTGATCTTTGTTATGTCAAGCACTTTTCAAGAGTTTCAGATGATTGACTCTCCAGACACGTTAGTGTTGTGGGTCTCAGGGCTGACACTTAAAATATCTTGGCAAATTTCATAAGTGGTTCTGACATCGTTGCTTGGCCAAACTTGTAGGTAGTAACGAACCACTGACTCTTATTGGTATTTACAGTTGCTGCGGAAAAGTACTTGAGGTTCTAGTGGAAACCAGCAAGCACGACTGTATTTCACAGGTGAAGAGCAAGCGTTCTGCGATATTGTGGGTGGAGCTCAACTTTTGCTTAGTTTGTACCAGGGTGCAGTGTGAGCATACAATTTTAAAATGGAATGTCTTGGAAGAGCATCCATGCTGACGGCACTCGATGGCCAGCCTGTTCTGCATGGCCGATGTGTATGCGAGCTGCATTCCTTCCGCAAACTCTCGTTTCCGCAGGAGCTCGAAATTGTGATGGGCGACGAGCACGTGTCGTTTACGACGTCGAAGATCGGCTCGCTGGTGGACGTCAACCAGAGCAAGGACCCCGAGGGTCTGCGCTGCTTCTACTACCTGGTGCAAGACCTCAAATGCCTCGTCTTCTCCCTCATCGGCCTGCACTTCAAGATCAAGCCCATCTAGATCTGTCGACAATAAATGCATGGGTACTCTGCCAACTGGCACTTTTGTCGTATCCGTAACTTTTTTTTTCCCTTGTATTCTAGTTGAATGTCATGCAATCGTGCATTGATGCAATGTAAAGAGCATGTGTGACACTCGTTTGCGTAAAACTTGATTACACGACACTTGGAGATGTCGCAAGCGGTATGCTTCTGAGGGGCAAGAAAAGTACAGCACTTTGCAGTTATCTAGCAAGCTAGCCGACACTCCTAGCAATACACACACACACACCTAACGAAGTTCCTTCCGTCTTGGCTCAGTTGGTAGAGCACTGGATGCTTCATTCGAAGGTTGTGTGTTTGGAACCCACTGACAAAGAGGATTATTTTTAATAGATTTAATTTTATTTCACTTTATGTAGCTATAACACTACAGTTAAAGACAAGTGATGTCCTCGGTATGTTTTCACCAGGCCCAACTGTCCATTCGATTTTTTATATCTAGAAGATCCTCGGGAAAAAAATTGCATTTTTTTTTCTGACTGTAGCTTTATGACTACTATTCAAATATTTCGTGCAACATAACATGTTGCTAGTTGGATAAAAAGAGAAAGGTCTAAGCATTGTGATCCGATTAGTGTTATCTGCTTACATGCATTAGATGCGCTTCGTGTCTAAGGCATGTGCGTCGATTCACTGCCACAAAATAAATGCGAATAAGACCACCACTACAAGCCAAAACATGTTTAATGAAATCCACCAGACCTGTATAAACAAACACCAGCAAAGCAACACCAAGAACAAACGAGTCTGTAAAGCGCACACGTGTGGTACTGCAAACACTAACATGTCGATAAAGGTGCAACAAACATAAACAGACTTTTGCGAAGATAAATGATAGCCGTTATTTTGACATCAGGCTTCGAATGAACGTTGGCGTCGCTCCATCTTTTAATGTCCTCTTCGGGGAAAAACTGCAGGTCGCGCGAAATCAACAATTGGTCGTTTAGACGGGACCACACAGTGTAGTTGGCCGCCTACTGGTAGACGTGCGGTCAACATATGGTCAAACTCGTGCCAACATCTTTTAGATTATGCTTTCCCTCAGCGTCTCGTAGTGAACCGGAGGTTCAGCCTGTATCACCAAGCATACGAACGAACAATCACGCCGGATGCAGATCTACGCGACGTTTTGTAATAGGCAACGCTTCCCATTCCCGAAGAGGCCACCCGGACTAGTTTAGTAGACGTGAACGATGCCGTAGAAGAAGGTCCAAAAGAGAACGTAGGTGAAGAGGCCACCGAACAGTCCCGTCGTGAGAAAGGTAGTACGGCTACGCAGGAAACGGTGCCAGGTGTTCATGGTGCGTAGCACAAGCATGAGCCACAGCGCCAGCGCGGTGGCGAAGTAGAAGAGGAAACCCCAGAGGCCCGTCAGACCCAGGATTCCGGCAGTGCAACCGGACAACGCGGCGAGGGACGTCCGGCAGTACTCGAGCACGGCTCCGTTGTGCCGCATGGCGGCCTCGCTGTACACGATCGTCTCGCCCGTTTTTTCCTTCTTCGAGCGCGCCTTGCTTCGGTATTCCGCCATCCTGCACTGCGGCTCGCCGGGATTTTTCGGGTCCCCAACTTGCGCGACACAGTTGCTGGAAGGGCTTTTGATCTTCGACGAATCGTCTCAAGCGCTAATAGGTACCAGCAGCACGGTTCGATAGGGAAAAAAAACCGGCGAATGTAATCGAAATAAGCAACCGGGTGAATAGCAGAAATGACGGCCGCGGAGCAACGAAAGTAGTAGGCCGGAAGTGATTACGAAAGTAGTATCTAGGACTCTGGTAATATACAGTTTCTCAACAACTTCTTACGCCAAGAAGTAAGAGGTCTAACATTTCTCTAGTTTCTTTGTACATTCCGTAAGGTCATGGTGTTAAATATTGCCTTAGAGATGCCTATTTTAAACAACCTAAAACACTGTTTTTTTATATAAAAATTATTGTGTTTGGTACCATGAAGTCAAACTTCCGCTTTTTTTGCACATTGCAAACTAAAAGTTAATGCTCAATAAGTTTTAATTTTTTTGATTTACGCATGGCGACAATAACGTCAGTGTTAGTGTAAAGTTTTTTTTGATGCGCTTACAAATAAGTGTATTTACTGAAAGGTAATTGTAGTTGCCTAAATAATAATTCCTTATTGGTTTTAGGGTTTTAGGCAAGATGACAGCATCATCGCTTGTCGTGCAGTGTACATTAGCTTCCGGTTTGACTTTCTGCAGCTGCTTCTCATGTGATGACATCTTCGCGAAATTGGGGCCCTACTACGATGGCTTTAGGATGCACAAGATGCGCGAAAGATGTTCCGAACTCTTGACACGACTTGTGTTCACCCGGCCGGTGCTTTTTCACAGGACCCCTGCAGGCCTCAAGTTTTCGTTCGGCGTATCATGAAGGGATCGCCGTCTCTGCACGGCAGTCTGTGGGACGTGACGCGAACACCGAGTGTGTTTCGGTGACAGGACGACGAGTCCGCTAGTTTCTTCCGTCAAAGACACGTCGTAACCCACGACGGCCGCCGTCATGTATTTTCCCATACGGTGGCCGCAAGTGCTCAACATCGACAGGGAGGCAAGCTCTACGTTGACGTGGATAGCGTCGGACTACAACAGGACGCTGTTCGCCGTTCTCACCGAGAACAGCATCGGCATTTGGCTCGAGAAGGTGAGAAAAAAAAAAAGGGGAGCGGACAGTGCTTCATCTGGATGTTGCAGGTTTACTGGTTGTCTCTATGAAGTTGGCGCGTTTTACGACGTGGTATCGACTGCACGTACACAGTGGAACTGAATATGTCCCGTTCGAATGCATCGTGTCAGTCGGCTGTATGTCATGTGAGAAAGCTGTCGGTATTCTGTGCATTCAGTGACAGTATGCCGGTAGTGCTGCAAAGCTTTAATGCGTGTTTGATGTTATGCGCAATGTTATCATGGTACTCCAATTACCTTGAACAAGAAACATCTCTTGCACAGCTTTCGTTTTCCAAAGCTCACGGCCTTCGATGAAGATTCTGTATGCCTGCCTCCGAGTGTGTTTCGAGCACAGAAGTTCCACTGCCGCTACCAGTGCCTCCTCGAAGCACTACCTACTGCTTCATACATTTGTAAATAATGATGGTCATCCACAAAACCTGTCTGTTGCACAAATCCGCGCTTTGCGAGAGCACACCCGTGTTTCAACTTTTAGCTTGTCACTTTAGGTACTAAGAAAAAAAGTGTAAAATCACTCAACTCTGTCACTTCAAGACAGTGCTAGCTGTCTTTAAGTGACTTAGTAATGTCTGGCAATCAATATCTGTATGAGCTTAATATTCGCTTTCTTTCTTAAGGAATAGGGTACATATGCATATTGTATAGATGGCTTGAACTAAAGTGATCATTGCAGCCGTCTTGGAAGACCAGCAATGTCGGAAAGCGGCATCTATATTGGTCAGCTGAAGGGGTTCTGAAGTTATCGCACACATGCTGGCAACTTTCCTGTCATGTCTCTGATGACATTGAAGCAGGTTGCTGATACAGTGACATCATTTGAGATCCTCACGTTGGAGCACCAGTGCAGTGGGGCTCTGTGTGTCTGATGTCATGTGCGAGGCATCTGTGTTGTCAGTTGAACTAGCGCCCGGGTGGCTGAAAAAGAAGACTGTCCCTGCTCAGTCTGTGAGCCGAGTTGGTCAGTGCTGCAGATGCTGCAATAAATATAAAGAATCAAAAACAGTGCAAAATAACAAATGTTAACAAATAATGCAATGAAAGGTAGAATAATGGACTGTGAAGAAACAACTCGCCCAACAGTTCATTCTTCTAAGTAAACATAGCTTCAAAATAATTTCCAGTGCAACTGTCTCGTCATTCGTGTTGCAATGTGATACCAAAGAAAGGTCGAAAAAGTGTTGAAACATTTCTTTCAGGCACTGACGAAAAACATTGTCGTAAAATAAATGTGTCCAACGAAACGAATAAGGGACAATCTTTGTCTATTGGGTCGGCTGCCATTTTTTTCGCTGCATGTGATGGCTTGCAAAGGGCGAAATGTCTCAACTGTTCCTTCGAGCTTTCTGCGTGTGTGCCGATGCAAGCATCTATTATCCTGTCCGCCTTTCTTTGCAGCTCTGTGTTCAAATTGCATCTCATGTTCGTACGAGCGAGTCACTCAGCAAGCATGGCAGCAACTCTCGGCTGGTCTGGAAGCGAGACTCCTCAATGCTGGCTGTCCTTGTGAGTGTGATTTGGTGCCATACTTCGCATTCTTTGCATTTTAATTCATGAGCACAAAGCCATGCTCGTAAATATGTGAGGAACACTGCAGCGAAGGTTTTAAGTGAACCCTTTCGCCCATTACAGTGGTGTAGTGGTTATCGTGCTCAACTCACGACACAAAGGTCGTGGGATCGAATCCCAGCTACAGTGGCTGCATTTCAGTGGAGGCATAATGTTAGAGGTCTGTGTACTTCGAATGAAGTGCACCTTAACAAACACCACATGGCAAAATTTCACAGCGTCTCTCATAATTATATTATGATTTTGGGCCACAAAACCAGAGCAGGTATTATTACTATTAAAGTACCCCTTGCAGACGTGACCCGTGAACAACTGGAACTACACGCATCAAATTTACACACCATTTCAAGGCACCTTACATTCTCTAGCAACGAAACCACCAAAGTGTGTTCATTTATGTGTTTTTCATTCATTATTCTTAATTAAATCTTATTTAAACATCTATTTATGTTGAAGTCATTCAGGTTGTTTTTCGCATAAATAAAATCACTTCTCAGGCTATAAATGAATCTCGGGCTAAATATGTGGTGTAATGTTTTGGTTATGTTCTTTTTGAGCAAAGAAAAATCATACTTTTGACTGGGCTTGTGGAAAGTGACACATCAAAGGACTTGTTGAACATGGCAGTGCCTTCAGCCATGTTATCAACTGCAACAGTACACTGAAAAATGAAGCTGAAGAAGACTCATTTAATGCTCATCGAAGGTTCAATGTATTTTGCTCTTTCTTAGCAACTCATCGACACGACCATTCTCGTTCACAAGTCAAGAGCAGTACGGCTTTTTGCCATCAAAGTATTCCCTTTGAGCCAGTGGTGTCGTAGCGCAAACGTGATGTCGCGGCCAATCGCTTTGTGCCTACAAGCAACATTTGTAGCCAAACTTCTATGACTGCGTCAGTGCTCATAGAAGCTGGCACACATAAAAGACATCCATTAAGCATTTTATCATTGCTGGGTGTTCTGATGGTAGTCACTTTGGGATGTCACAGGCCAGTGAGGTTCCCTTTTTTCATGTCCCCTTGTTCAAATAATTATTCACAGAGTAAGAGTGCCTTGGAGGGATCAAATAGTTTTTTCATCTGAATGGAAAGGGGAACATTATTTCATGCTAATTAAAGATAACTCATGCTTGTCAACGTAAAAATGAATGCTACCATACAGGAACTGAAGTGTTAATGTATATTTGAATTTTGTATTAGTTACTACACAATTCATTTTCATGTGAAGTTTTTTGCCCCAGAGGAGGATTTGATCTCTCTCTTTATAACAATATTACTCTGATGACCCAATGTCCTTACTTTTTTTAGCAACAATGCTACAAGCTGAGATAAATTGTGTGAATTAACTTCCACAATAACCGAACAGGTGCTTCATACTGATGGTTGGGTACCAATTGGTGAAAAATGAATGGGGAATAGATGGAGCCCATACATTGCAATATGCCACAAGTACTCCTCATTGTCGTCTTTTATCTATAAAAAATTTATCATACTTGAAAGAAAGAAATACATAAATAATGTAGAAGTTGTGCCAGCCTTTCTTGTTTAAGGACTGCTGGAGCCCCCTAAGAAATCCATGAAATTCTTGATGCTGCACTTTTGTCAATGGTGCAACAGTCTGTGAGGTGTGCTTCCAAGTGGAAGTTTTTTTTTTTCTTAATTGTGATTACTTTGAATAAACCTTTTCTCCAATATAAATGAAGATAGTGTTCTAAAAGAATATTCATGCAGTGCCAATTCTTTCTCAAACATTATATTTGTCACTTGTTGGCAGCAAACAGTGCTGAGTTATGGATATTAGAGGAGCACACTTTTTTATATTTCGCTCGTCCTTGTGTTTATTTCTTTGACGCTCGTGCGAGTTCATTCTGTCAGAAAAAACTTTTAAACACCGTTTATTTACAGACATTCAAGGGACACATACTCATGTACAAAGTCGTGACTGAGGAATCTCAACCACCACTCCTCGAACAAATCGACAGCAAGTAAGTTCTTGGTCAAATACCAAGGTTATGTCATTTATAAAGGGCTTGTACTGGTAGCTAATTGTGGTCTGTTGATCTTCCAACTGCGGAAGTAAAAAAAAAATACTCCTCTAGTAATTTTGTGTTGTTTGACTTTTACTGGAAGGTAAATGGGGTGTGGAATTTTTAGCTGGATATTAGCAGAAATGTGTTGAAATTATTACTGTACAGACAGTGGCAGCCTGTGACCGCCTGGATACCCTGGCTAGAATTCTAGGTGCTTTTTAAATGTCTGGAAACTGGCTAACATCTGCATGACTACAATGGTCTATTAGGTTAAGTTGTTCAGTAATGGTTAACCATGCCAGTATACTAAACCTTCTTGAGAGAATTATAAAAAAAGTGTGGTGTACAATGACATTCAAAAACGTAAAACCGGATCGGAGAGACGCGGACGACGATCCCAAGTTTTCAAGACTCCTTGTGTGCAGCTCTTTGCGTGATTGTCGTCTTGTTTGTGCAGTCATTCCATTTGTTCTGAGCTTCAAATTTGGGCTGCACAATATCCATGCATAGAATCAATGAAAATGTGGAACTTGTGCATTCAGAACGAAAACTTAAATTTTGTTGTCTTTTTTTGTACATTACCATGAGTAAGAAGACAGCACAGCGTATATAGTTAGTATTGTAAGTTGTCAGCATATGGCACAAGTTGATTGACGAATATAAAATTCTTAAAGTCTAGTTTAAACATTTGAACCAAAGAAACTAGTTTGAGTACATTGTAGTAGTTCTTGTAAGTGATCTTAAAAGATCATGGAGCTGTAGACACGTACATCATGTGTTGCTGATAACACTACATCAGTGTGCCTATTTGTTTAGTCTTCTCTCTATCCTTTTTTTTGTTCCTTGTTCAAAAGAAAAATTATTTATGCTTCACTTTGCAAGCCCAGTCTTCAACCCTGAAAAACAAAGCTGTGTCATATATTTTTTTTCCTGATGGGATAAATTTTATTGTGCCTCAAGCAATAGCGGGTCTGACATGTCTTGTAGCCTCCTTATGCACGCACTTTACTGACCTTGAGTTCTGTCCTTGGTGTTACAGCCAAGCCAACCTCAAGAGGGAGAGTGCAGAGCTCTTCGTCAAAGACCGTGTGCTGCCCGTTAAGTTGATACCTACATCTCATCTTTCAACATCGGCTGATGTGGCCGGGTAAGTCTGGCAATTGGCTGCTGTGTGTAGCACATGCACTACTCAAAAGAACAATATTTTTATTTGTTCCCCGAAACGATGTTGGAGAAAAAAACTTCGATATCGTGTGACCAACCAAGCTTTGGAACCAAGCAATGCATAACTGTTATAATCTTTAGTCATTTTGCAAGAATAATAAAGTGTAGTTAGATTTAGTGTACTGAAAAAAAAAGCACATTATTGTTTTATTGGAAGCAAGATCTCGAGTTTAGTTAGTTTCCTGAAATATACCAAGCTGGAACTTTTCTATTTCTACATAGTGTCATGCATTAAAAAGAGACAAACATGCTCTCAGTGCCTTAGCAGTAAAGATTTCATGAAATATTGACTTAGTTGTAATTATTATTGTTATTGATTTAGTTATCATTTAGTTATTGATTTAGTTATAATGTCACACTGATAGCTCTCATAAAAATAACCAGTGTTCTTTTTACCAAGTGTATGTTTTGCATGTAATGGTCACTGCCTACTTATTGACTTGCAGCAGTCTGCTGCTGTAACAGAACATACAGTGCTGGTAATTTATGAAACATTTCCAAGTGACAGCCTGCATTCAGTCTTATTATCATTGCAAAAAAGTGGGTAAGAAAGTGAAGCATACGTTTGAAGAATAGAAGACACACAACTCGCACCTTCGAATGTTAGAACATGATTGTAAGGAGGGTAATAAAAAGCTTTTCAGGCTGCTGACATTACTAAAACGCTGAAATCGCTTTTGTCCCCAGAGAAATAACTCTTTTTAGGACTTTTTTGTCGTTTCAGAATGTTTGCAGGTTCTTTTTCACATCTATTATCAATGTGTAGCACCACACACAACTTTCAGCAGTCTGTGCACCAGGTAAAAGCACGGTTTGTTTCTGTCGAGGGAGTGTTAGACAACAAGAGCAACATACTCTGAAATGAAATTGAGAATAAACTAATGAGCTGGTTCAGTTAAATTTAGTTCATCTTGGCAAAGCCTCACAGGATAAAGAACAAAGCGAAAATGGGTGACTGAAGACCTGTTACTGGGGGGGTGTTGGTGTCTGTTTCCAATGAGACAGTGACCTTCTATTTTTCTGTATTTTTTTTTCAGTTGCTGTGCGTCTTCTCTAGTCAGTGTGGTGTGTACCAAGTAGCTCAGCAACAAGTTCTAACCATCTAGTTCTAATATCGATTCCTTTATTTTAAGGTTCTTTACAGATACCATTGAATAGGGGGTTCAACCTCAGAAAAGCTTAACAGACATTGGAGGACAGTGTCCGAAAAGTATAAGTACACAGTGCTTTACGCCAAAACTAAGTTTTCTCGCTGTTGCAGACCTTTTATTTTACACTCACTTATGGCTTGAGCACATTTTTTTAAAAATGGGAAAACAACAATAACAACAAAGACGCTTCAACAAAGACGGTTTCAATAAGTGTGCTGTGGCTTCTACTATTTCCCTCCAGTGTGCTCAACTTTGGGGCCGAAGAGCTCTTGCTGTGCTGTGGCAGTGGGCTGATGCTGCGCGTTGGCTGGGATGCCGCCTTGCATCAGGAGCTGACGCTCGACCTCCGTGACGTGCCATTCCATAGCGGAGCACCCTCTGCACCTAGTGAGCCTTCTTCATTTGCAGCTTGTGTTATTCGGTCTTCCCAATGCTTCACTGATTCATTGATTCATTCATTCATGTATATTTGCTGTTCATGACTAATTAGGTGAAGTTGTTTTGCTCATAGCCAAAGGCTTGCAGGAGGCACGTTTGGAGCACACATCTATTAGAAGCTTCATGATAGAACGGGTAAGAATTTGTGGTGATGCTTTCTTGGGAAAAAAAAAGGAAATATGAAGTGATTACTGATGATAGAACTTGCACCACAATGTTGCTCCTAGACGTTGAATAAGCATACATTAGCAGCTACAAAAAGAAATAGGCAGGACTTGTGCGAAGTGCTTTCTTGGGAACCGAGTGAAGGAAGAAGTGATTACTGAGGATTTAAATTTCAAAATAATGTTGCTTTTAGAATTCTACCTCGTATCGACAGCTGCACATGAGTTTCTTCCAGGAATTGAGTTACCCAGTAGACGGAGCAGATTGAAGAGAACAGCATCAGTGAAATGTGCCCGAGGGAAACATTTAGTCTCACGTTGCTTGCACAGTTTCTGCAACTTTGCCTGTCAAGAATGAGAGAAAGTACAAAAACGAAACGTTAATACCCCCTCGCTTTTTGCTTCGTTCCTTCGTCAACTCAATATACAGGACCAAGCCCGCACCGGGGCTCATTGGAAGTGCGAGACGTGCAGTACCTGCCACTGCTCGGTGGACTGGCCATCGTTTTTCGTAATGGCCGTGCCGCTGTCGTCCTCAGTTCCAGTCCCGAGTTTGAGTCCAAGGTGACTGCTGGCATGCTACGATATTCACGCCGACATACGCATTTAAACAAACTCGTAATATGTTGCCTGTTTATAAACTCCTTAATTCGCTCTTAATGAGACTAAACCTGGGCCGCATAGATTTTGTGGCCATTCTCAAATCATGAATGGTACTTTACCACTATCCCTTGACAGAATGGTATATAACTGCATCTTGCTGATACTTACCAGCACGGCAACAGCCCGGAGGCTTACGAAAAGGAGTTGTTTTCAATCGAGTATGATGCAGCAAGCCATAGAAAGAAAAATGGTCGTTGCAGCATTATAAGACTAGGAGAGAGAAGAGTTGGCCAGGGAAAAGACAGGTGTAAATAAGGGCATCTTAGTTCTAATCGAGAAAAAAGAGGCATGAGCAAGGCGTGTATCATGAAGGCAAAATAGTCACTGGTTATTAATAACAGACTGGAATCCAAATCCAAGAGAATGCGAGCCTGTGAGGGGGAGGAAGAAAGTTAGGTAGGCAAATGAGACTTCGAAGTTTACAGGGATGGTGTGGCCGTAGCAAGAACAGGAACGGTTTGATTGACGAAACAGCTGCTGCTGCTGATGATGATGATGATGCAGGTTGTCTGAACATAAATAAGTGCCTCAGACGGGCTGACCGAAATTCCATCAGGGGGTTTGATCTTCATCAAAGGCAACTAATTCTTGGTATGTTAGTTTTGAAAGGGTTAGTGGCATCATGTCACACGGCATTGCTGTTGCTACTAGTGAACTACTCTGTAGTATTTGGTTCATAGCTGGGTTTTATTGGTACTTGATCTTTCATATTACTCATGTAGCATAATAGACTTGCAGCTAAACAAAATAGCTGCTTCACTTTCCAAGTGAACATACATATAACCTGAAACACCTGCTCATTGAATATTTATATAGGGTGTTCTTTTTTTATTATTCCTTTTTATGTAGACAAAAATTGGTAGGCCATAAGATTGGCAGGTACTTGAACTTTGTGCTGTATATACCTGCCCTCAAGCCAATAATTAAACATTAATTATTGAATTTTGTTAATTAGCCACCGCAGTGTAATTTTAACTGTGGAAAATCAATTCCAATTCGACACAGAATTTATGTGCGAAAACGTCAAGGGCCTCACTGTTATGGAATTTTTATTAAAATCTGTATTAGAATAAAGAACACCCTGTGTAATTAAAGTGTATAAAGGCTAACTTGGCTTCTACAGTCTAGGAAATTAAATTGCCAAGGTCCCTTGTATGATAAACTAATGATATAAAGCCAAGATTATCTTTGCAATGTGTTTCATGCCTGTTGTTTATTTACCTCTGAAGGGTAATCTAATTGTACAGCCATTGTTTATTTCTTACAAGTTGTCAATGAGCAGTCAGCAGTATATTATTTGTTGCTGAGGTAATGTAGGTCCAGGAATACAATTCTACACTAGTATATTCCTTAAAATAGAAAATTTATGTGCACTAAGATTGGGAAGTGCCAAACTTTCAGCAATTCCTGTCTCACTGCCCACTGCATATTCATCAACAGGATGCGCATGCTGTTTGGATACCTGATGTCACTGAAGCCACTGTGACAGCTGTGAATCACCGCTACAGGCTAGTTGCCATAGGACTGGCCAAGTGAGTCTCTGGATAATTTTTTTTAAATGCGGAGCATTTCTTAGTTGCACAATGTCACGCGTTGTGCCTCGGCGTTGTGCAGCACCCCCACTGTGCATGCTCGTGCCTCTCGTATCGTGGTGCATGCTTGCGTCTCGTGCCAACTGTTTCCTCCCGCCTCTCTCCCCTTGCAAGGCCGATGCAGGCAGCGTCTGCTAGTAAAAACTGACTGCTCGAGTTGCATAACCTTTCACTGGCCACCTCTTATAAGTAGGCACTGGATCGCACATCAGCGTCACACCACTCGTTGAAGACAACCCTTCCTCATTCAATAAATAAGCTTAATAAAGACGAAATATAATTAAGCATTCCCTAACCATAGCCAATTATGCCACATTCGTGCATATAAATGTTTTTATCTTGAGATATATGCTCAAGCCTCAACACAATGAACGGGGATACAAGGAATGGTAAGTCAAAACGAAATAAATGAAGAATAGTCTTGTCATAGATACAATGTTGCGAATGTATGCCTAATATGAATTCTTGGATATTATGCAGTCATTTTAGTGTCATGTGCCACTTTGTTATAGTATGGCTACAGTGCACTTGTGTGAATGTGGTCTAGTCTGGGCCACTTTTTAAACTTGGACCTTCTAAAAATAAAAGTAGAGCACAAATAAAGACGGGACACAGGAAGCAAGTAGACAGCATAGAACGCTCACTACCAATTTATTTATTTATTGGCTTTGGACAGATGTTTGAAGAGTGCTTTTAATAGTGACAAGGTGCTTGCGGTGAGTAGATATGTTGATGACTTTTTAGTGGTTCTTAGGAAGCAGGAGAGTATTGGGATGAATCGCGATGATTTTAGTGCCTTTAGCGGCGATGTGCATGAGATCTTAGAAGTTTTAATTTGTTGGGACAGGGGTTGTCGTTCACACATTAGACTCTGGCAGAAGGGCAGTTACAGTTTTCACATGTGAAGCTAACATTGTCGCACTCACATGTATGTTGGGCGTATAATCCGCGCTCCTCCAAACCGTTACTGCCGTTTGATTCAGCTCATTCAAAGATTGTGAAGTGTGCAATTCCTCCCATGTGCCTAGAATCCGCCCTCAAAAAGTCTTGCTTTCATGCGGCCCCCGACAGTTTTTTTTTCAGAAAGTGCAACGGTTGCAGTCGTCAGGGTATTCTGACGCTGTTCTGGTGGCTATCGTCGAGTCGCTACTCCAAAAGATAAAATGCCAGGGCCGGGGAAGGAAAGACACGCACACGCAAACAACACAAGGCCTCAGGTGGTCCCCTACATCCACAAAGTAGTGCATAACCTCAAGAAAGTTGTGTATAGGCACAATGTGCCAATCATCTTTTCAGCGCTATGCAAGCTGTCCAAGCTGGCCCCGCCACGGTGGTCTAGTGGCTAAGGTACTCGGCTGCTGACCCGCAGGTCGCGGGTTCGATTCCCGGCTGCAGCGGCTGCATTTCCGATGGAGGCGGAAATGTTGTAGGCCCGTGTACTCAGATTTGGGTGCACGTTAAAGAACCCCAGGTGGTCAAAATTTCCGGAGCCCTCCACTACGGCGTCTCTCATAATCAAATGGTGGTTTTGGGACGTTAAACCTCACAAATCAATCAAGCTGTCCAAGCTGTGTGCGCGTATTCCCGGTGAGGTAAACAGAAGACAAGCTGTGAAACCAAGCACACTAGACGTTACGTGGACTGTGTGGTGAGGATAGTATATGAATTGCCATTGAGCTGTGGCAAATCAAACATCGGCAAAATGGGCAGATGTATAAACCAGCGGGCCAGGGAGCATGAGTTGACACTCTCGGAGGATAAAAGCACCCATCTTTCTGCGCACTGTGCAGTGTGGGGTTGTGTGCCTTTGTTTGATAAACTGAAAGGTGCTGGGACGCAGTAGGGAATCGGTTGCACGTGAACCTGTGAAAGGCGTTTCATATAAAATTGAAGGGTGATGATTGCATCAGCCGGACGTCAGCGTGTTTGCGGGAGCGCGAATTTCAATTTATATGCCGCAATATGATCTAGTTTTTGATATGAGCAGCTTTGCGATGTGCGCAGCCGCATTTGTGACCCTTGTTTCGCATTTCTCTCCACAATTCTTACGTAAATAAATCGGCTGGTAGTGAGCGTTCTATCCTGTCTACTTGATTCCTGTGTCCCGTCTTTATTTGCGCTCTACTTTTATTTTTAGACATGCACCTACTCGCCCAGCAACACATATTATTTGAACCTTCTGAACTGTACCTTAAGAATTCTTTCACCAATTACGCGCATGCGTTTCTCTGTAGTGGTCAAGGTGCTGTCTTTTACCTCGACGAAGCCAGTGGCCAGTTTGTGGCCTCGCACAAGCTTTGCTTGTCTCCTAAGGACTTCCCCGAGTCTGGGGCCGGTGCTGTGTCGCAGCTGCAATGGACCCCAGATGGCTGCGCCTTGGTCTTGGCTTGGGCCCGTGGTGGCTTCTCCCTGTGGAGTGTCTTTGGCTCTCTCCTGGCGTGCTCTCTCAACTGGGATGGTGGGCCACCTGCCTGCATTCATGCTCTGGTCAGTCACACTTGACTATCGGGATCGTGAAGTTGGTTCATGCTATGTGATTAGAGGGAAACACTGTGCGGCATTTATTAAACTGCAATAGATATGAGTACTGCAAGTCTCACATTAAAATTTTTTGTATGCGTTGTCTCGTGTAAGAGTCTGCAAACTGAAGGTCTATTTCAGCATGTGTTGATTGGTTAGAGCTAGAGAGCTGGCAAGAAAAATAGTTTATTGAGATATTTTATATGCCTCAACAACGGACATAATAAATGTGCATAGGTAGATAGGGCAGGCTATCCTTAGCTCACGGAATGTTACTATACTCTGTGTCAGAAGTTCCCTTCAGCACTGTGGAGGCTACAGGGCCCCAAGCCAATAGGAAAGGCGATTAGCCCCTCCGCATGTATTCATCCGCTCCGTGTCGTCTGCTCACCATCTTCATGGCGTCTGCTCGCCTACCTAATTGTCCTTGCACGATCATTGTATGTAACATGGGTGTTTTATTAACTTTAAGAAATAAGTAAAACTGTCAAACAAGCCATTACACTTCAACTTCAGGAAATTTGGCGTCTTAACAATATTATTTGTGGCTCTACTGAAGATCGGTAGGCGCTCTTGCCGGCGGATAATTTCACTTTGTGGCTCTAGGACGCTGTTCGTGGCTCTGGCATGACTGCTTCTCTGTCAAAGAATTTTCTCAAAGCTCTCGAGGGAGCATCTGAGAGCATCATTTCATGGAGGGAGCATCCGACGCACGCGGAACGCTGTGTGAAGTTGCATGTGCGATATCTGGAGATGTGCAGCGTTCTTGGTCTGGTGACACAGCCAAAGCTTTGGCCTCGGTGCGTTAGGCTTATCAGATACGGCTATGCAAGCAGCATATCTCGCTAACAATGACCAAACATACCAGATGCTTCATCCTCAGAGTAAAATGAAACAAATCGATGGCTAATTTTGCCATTTATTTGTTGCTATCAGCACAGTGGACGTTTAGCAGGAGGAGCAAGTTCGAATTGAAGCGGGCGGTCGTTTTTGCATGAGGGCTGCCATGTTGGTTTGTAACCATTGTTTCTGTCGGTAACCGACACAAATAATTAAATGCTTAGCAAATAAATGCAATTAAGAAAACACATCGTGTATTAGTGTGGCGCAACACACAACAAACACCAGTTTTAGACAAGCCTACCATTTTCAAGGCACTTATATCTGGAACTATGCTTCACTGCGTAAGCGTGTGGCTTTCTTACACCCCGTAGCTTTGGTAGTGCTGAACCAAAGTATTGAAACAGAGTATAAACATTTCTTGTTCTGTTCTGAAGGTTGTCTTTTTTCAAGTTGTAACAGAGCTTGGATCACGACCCATTATGGCCTGTGCTGCACCCTATGCTTGTTGCAGGAATGGGGCGTCGAAGGATACCAGCTGTGGATGGTGGCTTCCCCGAGTGACCACCCTGAGCAGCGTGATGTCATGCTGATGAACTTTGTCAAGAGTGCCTCCACTGTCAACCCTGGAACTGTGAGTGGAAATTCAAAGTTTATTGTGGCGATCTTGGTTCGCCCCGGCCTTCGAGTTATGAGAGCCTTGGCATTTCATTCTCACCAGCATTTTGGCGCATGAGGGATTGATTTCATTGCATCAGTTATCCTACTTTTAAAGTCTTGAATTTCCCTGCCCTGATGCAGTGTGGTGGTGCTCGGCAAGTTTTGCTGCAAGGCTCCGACCGGGTGTTGGTCAGTTCGGAGTCCGACTTGGCCGATCGAGACACGCCGTGGCCTCAGGACGGGTGCCGAGGAAACAAGCACTGGACTGTGGAGCTGGTGAGGCATTAAGTTTGAATGATTCTATAATTGCACACAATTTGATAAGGCTACAGAGAGATCGGACATGTGCTGTCTTTATGTGTGAATGTCAATTCATGCAATGCTCAAGAATGGATCACTTTGAACTTGCCCTCTTGTCCGCACTTTCACTAAATTTGAATCTCCGTGTGCTACCAAAGCTCTTTTGTTTTATGCTTCTGCCAAACTTCTTGCCAAGGTACTGTATACAATATTTCTGAATAATAGGTGTCACCTTTGTACCCTCGAACCTCATTATAGTAAACTCATGTCTGCCTTGAAAATACTTTTATATCTGAAAATTCGTTATAAGCGATTATTTGTAACACTAACTATAGCAAAGCCATTGGTCACTTCATTATAACCAGTAATTCTTCATATTCGAACTCGTTATATCGAGGTTTGAGTGTACATTTAAACCCCTTTATAAGAGGCATGCTCTGGGCAGCAATTCTTGTCTTTTATATGAGATGTCTCTTATAAGCAGGGTACCTCGTATGCATTTTCTTATCCACTTGTACAGTCGAATCTCAATAGTTCTAACACGCTTAATTCGAACTTCCTGTTAATTCGAACTCACGATGAGGTCCCGTCAAAGCTATTTGTAATCCAAAGGACTCCCGGTAATTCGAATGCGCAAGCACTTGCGATGGTTAATTCGAACATACCGCGCTCCGAAAGTGCTCTCAGCACCCCGCCCAATGTCGCAGCGGCACCTGCGACACCTCAACACTGCGCGCAAAGGAAATGAAAAGGAAAGAAAAGGCTGTGGTGGAATGTTTGCGCTCTCTCAAATGCCGATCTGCGACGCACCCGTGCCATGCTTCTCCCTTTTCCGCCCCTGCCACGTAAAGACCCTTCTCCTTTTAACATTGCGCTCAAAGAGACAGATAAAAAAAAAAAAAGCTGTCGCGGAGTGTGGCACTGTGACGTGCCGGTGCCACGCTTCCCCATTCCTGGCCCTGCCATGTAATCCTTCTCTTTTCAATGACACTTGTTTTCAATGACACTTGCGACGAGAGCAAAAAGGAAATGCCGATCTGCTTCTCTCCGCGTAGAGATGCTCCCCCTTTCTCGTCACGTGCTGGTCACGCTGCGGCTTTGGCGCAGAGGGTAGTAGCGGAGATGCAGTCGTTGTCGTCATCTTTAGAAAGTGTCGGCGCTGAACATTTCTGCGTGCAACTTCTTTTGCCAGGAGAATGCTGAAGCCGAAGTAGAAATGCTTTACAAGCTGCATGCGAAGTTGATTGACTCGCTGCAAGACAAACATGTGCAGATGCGCATCACCGATTACTTCAATTATTAACGGATGTCATGTGATTTGTGAATGAATGTAAGTCTTCTGAAACTTCCCCCTCGTGTGTTAGCTCAATACACATGCGCCACTGCATGAAGAGCCCTCCGTTTATTTAGCTTTTGTTGATTCGAAGTTTTTTTAATTCAAACAAATTTTCAGGCCCCTTCGAGCTCGAATTATCGAGATTGGACTGTATTTGACTGTAAGCTCACTAGTGTCTCTGATACCCATTTGTCTCTTATATCAGCGTCTCTTATAAAGGGGTTCCACTGAATAAGGTTTTGTCTAGTCAAGAGCACGAGGAACATCAAAGCCAAGCTGGCTTAGACAAATTGCTCCAAACATCTAATGCTTTCGGTGTCCGTATTCTTCGTGGACCAAGAGCACCGATAAACACTGATAAAGAGCACCTGTGCCAACATCTTCACAGACGTTGACAAAGACTTATGTTATCTAGAGGTGGAAGAGATTAGCTAAAACTTTCAACAATTGTGATGTTGCGTACCCCAAGTGACACTAAATCTATTGCAGCTCAGCATATAGGTTATGCTTACTGTGAACAAAAAGTTCAATTTCAGAAGCAACTAACTGCAATGCGTTTTCTTTTTTGTTCTTTTTTTTTCTTTCTGTTTGTAGGTTCCACACACGTACCTGGCAGCCAACTGGCCGATTCGAGTGAGTTGGCACCCGTTATTTGTGGTAGACCAGAAATAGTTACCTGGTCTTAGTTTTAGAGACACTGCTTTGCTTTCTTTTTCAAGTGAAACTTGCTATAACTCAGATTTCGGGGGCGATGTCGCACGCAAAAAATCTTGGCACCTGAAAGCATACATAAATGCGACCCTCGGAAGTGCACAAGTCAAATACATATTGGCTGTGTGCCGTTTTCCAATGATTGATGGTCTCTCGATTGCGGGATGGTCAGCGATCAGCCTTTTCTGATACGGAAATCTGATCTTTATCGAGATGACTCTTCATTTCACGTTGCTAATTTTCATTGTTGCTTGGATCAATCGCTTGACCATGCATTCTTGCCTGTAGCAACTGAAGTGTGTTGCTTTGCTGAGCACGTGGAAGCAATTCCAATTCCTGGTGTGGAGTAAGCACAGTGCTGTGTGATAGAAATAAAAAGAAGGAGCTAAAATAAAAGTAGTATGTTAAGCACGCATGTGCAAGGCTTTGCTTGTTTCTATTCAGGCCAGGGCTGCTGAATTTTTGGAAGTGTGGACACATGCAACACTGTATGTAGTACCTAATTTCTCATTAATACTTCATGGGCCGTACTTTGATATTTTTCATCTCTTGACTTACATAGCTTTTTAAATGTAATAATATGCTGTACTTGCGCTTCTAAAATGCTAAAAACATCAGTCTTGTTACGGAATTTTAGTAAGTATAAAGAGAGACTGCCATGCGAAAAACTAAGTTCCTGCGACAGCTCTTTGTGGTATCACAAGATTCAATAACTTTTTGCTAATCTATTGAGGGTCGAATTTTTTGTCAAATGTGACCCTATGGATCAATCTTACCTTTTTTCTGGAGGTTTATAATTTTTAGAATGACCAATTTCGATAAATGGAATATTCTGATCTTTTTTAGGAACCACAAATTGACAAAACGATGCTTTGCATGAGTACAGATGTGTTACGTGTTTGTGAACTACAAAAAAAAAAAGGAGAAGGAAGCTTATATGTAAATAATAAAAAGTATGTTCATTGTAATAAATATACTTTACAGTCTTAGCAAAATGTACACACCACGATATTACTGTTACCTTTCTGCTGTTCACAGTTGATGCGCCCACTCTGTGTGGTGAAACTGGTAGTTCACTCTTTAATTTTATGACTGCATGGTCAATGATTCCCAAAGAAAGAAAAAGTGGCGTAGTATAAAGGTGCAGATTTGAGCACTTCGGCTCATGATCAAGCGCAAAAAATTTATTGCTTTTGATTTTATACCAGAGTGCTGTGGTTTCTGGTACAGCAAGAGTGAAAAGGACTAGGCCCCCCCCTCCCCCCTAAAAATTGTTGCATTTTGTTTGCCCCCAGCCCCTTCGTCACAAAAGCAGATATAGCCAAAGTGTAACGCACAAATCCTAAGCCTTTGTGCCCCTCTGGACATACGTTTGCCGTGGATGTAACCCCCCCCCCCCCCCCCTTCGCATTGAAAAAATTCTGGCACCAACCCTGTGTGGTTCTTTCGCCCCATTACCCTTTTCTGCTTGTGCGTCATTAATAGCAGCACTGCGATTTTGCTTCTCCTTAATGACTCTATAAAGCTGACCGCAAGGAGGTGCAAGGAATGCTGTGAGTTTGGAATCCTTCTGCCACGTATTCAGGAAATTCACCTCTTTTGTTTTTTCCCGCGTATCGTGCAGTACTCTGCAATAGACGCTGGCTGCCACCACGTCGCAGTGGCCGGCCGGGGAGGTTTTGCCCACTGCTCATTAGCACACAACAAGTGGAAATTCTTTGGCAACGAAACACAGGTGAACTGTTTGTTTGCACGAGGGCCCTTTATGTGTTTATACGGGGGACGTTCTTTCTCACCTTGAATGTTACTAAAAAAATTTTTTTTTTCACTTTACTATTGGGATCATTAATTCAGCTACAGCTTGCGCGTTGTAATTTAACATTTTGAGAAGTAGTAGTAGCAGTACATGCAAAAAGTTTCTCTCGCAAATGAAGCACAAGCAAACCTGTAGTATTTTCTTGCAGTTTTTCTGAATGTTTCCCTTTGTTAGCTACTAAATTAGTTACTTTTTAAACGGGCTCTATGCCTTCATTAGTATAGCGGGATGTTTGTATCGAACACCATAAACATGCAATTAAGTGACATTCTACAGCAACTTTCAGAGCAACATTTTTCATGTTACTTTTGTTGAATCTCTTCTCAACTAGATGGATCATCATTAAACAATAGTTTTAAATTGTTACTTTCACCGATTGCCAAACGTATGTGCTACTGGGTCTACGCCTCATTGAGCTGAATTAATAGCGACGAAATAGCCTCTGCTCGATCTTATTTGAGGGAAACGGAAACATTGCCTAGATGGCAATCTTTCTTTCAAATAAATTGTTCTTCAGCGCAGGGTAATCCTTGAGTTTATGAGCTTAACTAGTAACTAGACGTGAATCATTGCCTTTGGTGTATGCCTAAGATGCAGTGTTATTCTTGATGTCTGATTTAGGAGCAAGACTTTGTGGTTACCGGTGGCATCCTCTGGTGGGAGTCGCTTGTCGTGCTCGGCTGTATCAACCTGCGCGATGGCTCTGACGAGGTATGTTTTGTTGCAATGGTGCCTTTTCTCAATTACTGAATGGTTACTAAATTACCTGTTGGCCACTAAATTTGTGTGTGTAGTTGGGGTTGATGTACATGAACTATCATAAGACAGATGACAATCTAGATAATCTATTTAGAATAGATGACCTTTAGATAATCTACTAGTTTCCTGTTAATGCCTTCTTAGTTTGTAGTAATTAGTAATTTATGAAAGCATGAATCCGTTCTTCCTTTCAAATAGGTGGAGAGCTGCCGTTTCCCTCTCTCGTTTTCTGTTATTCTTATGTGGTTAGTTAGTAAATTCCAGTATCCTTAAATGTCTTCTTACTAGCCTTTCTGGTTATTGAGAAATGTAGACCGGTGTAACATTTATCATCCGCCTAGCAGCATTGTCCATTACATCCTCACACTTTGTCACACTCTTTCAGTTTCTCTTTGTGTTTACCGTACCATCGAGTTCAGTCGCAGTCAGACAGCCAAAGCATGCCCACATGGCTGTTTCCAACTGGGTTCTTTGCTCAAACGTACAAAACAGCTGGTGGAATTGCTTATTTTTGCAGCGATGACACGGCAGCTACAGTACAGTCACATCCATGCTATCTGTGGACAGCAGTTGTGATTCATAACAGGGAGTCATACCTTTACTCTTCTCGTAGACCTGGTGGCCAGCATTCATTGCAGAGTGCTTACGCTTGCTCTAGCCTGTGCCCTTGCATCTTCATTCAGTGCTTATGTGGACAGCACACTTTTATTGCCAGCTTCATAATAAGCAGCATTGAGTGTCTACCCTTTGATGCACGCAGGTGCGTCTGTACCCGCGTTCCTCAAAGCTTGACGACATCTTCGTGCGGGTGCTGCGTGTCGACGCCCAGGTTCTGCAGCTCGCACTCTCGGAAGACCGGCTGCTCGTGTTCGCCTCCAACAGTCGCCTGGCACTCCACCGTATCAGTCCACAGTGGTGAGTAAACTGTACAGATGTGCCTGCTTTTGTGCTTTTGTGCAGTGAATGCACGAAGTCTAGGCAAATGTAAAAAGAAAATTTGGGTTGGAAGTGAATTGAAAGCAAATGGTGATTTGGTCAAATAAGTTCGGACCCAATAGTTCAGATAGTGTGTTTTACATATTGTGAAGAAAAATAAGAATATTTTTCTTGACTCGACTAACCTGCACGATATTTTCAAAACTTGAACAAGACGTGTGTGAATGTCGTTCTACTTAGTTCGAAACAAAGGGAAGCAACCTTAAATTGTGGCAATACTTAAATTTCAGTAGGATGTAAGTGATAACGAATGGATGCAAGTGATAACCAGTAAAATACATAACATTTTAAAATTCACTATACTTAAAGCGTCTTATGCCCGTATGACAATCAATGCGATGATGCGGGCTAGTTGGTTTGAGGTATTTTTAATCATATTCCTAGTGCTAAAACCTGACGGATACGCAAGTAAAGAATATTACATAGAACAGGCAATAGACATCAACTCCGTCTATTGCCCGTCTTATGTATGTGTTGCCTACTTGTTTCTGCATCTCGTTTTTTCTGTATAATAAGCTTAACTTACAATAAAGTTATCAATGCGAGGGTGGAATGTTCATTTAGCCAATATCCGTAAGTGGGTTGTTTACTGCTGGAGAGAGAGAGAGGGGGCAGGCAAACACAGTGTCTCGTTCTCATCGGCTGTGTCCCTGTTTGCTCTCCGACCCCCTTTTGTGATCAAATAATTACTAAAAATACCTCGACCTAGTGTCATTCTGAAACTCTACGGTATGTCCTTTGACAATTTCGCTATATTTTTTCTCTTGCACCATCTGTCCCTACCTCATTATTTGAGCACACTCTTCTACTTCTGCTTCTTCAATTTCGTGCACGCGGTGTAGGCCTGGAGCGCCTGCAGGAACTGGACCTTGTCTGCTCTGGTGCCGCACCCACTGTGTGTGGTGTCGGCCACCTTGGTGCAGCTGGGCGGGGCACGTGGAGGCCCCTCCTCCAAACTAGCCGTACTGCTCAATGTAGCCGGACGGCTGGTGCTGCTACAGCAAGACCCTGCCTCGGCGCCACCCCCGTTAGCCCCGCCCCGAGGGGCACCACCCCCGCTACTGCGCCAATGGAGTGCCCCCACCGTGCTTGCCTTCTGCGTTGAGAGGGTGAGTAAAACTGTCAAAAATCTCCTGTCATGATTTACATCCTGAAGCACTTCACAATGGTCGTCTCCCGCGGCTGGTCCATGGGGACGGCACCTTAGGTTGTTTCCCGTGAACCCCTCGTGGTGAGTCGAGCATTGGTGACACCGCTTTCGCGTTGCCTTAGGTTTTTTTCTTATGTTTGATTGAGTGTATTGGAATATTGTATAAGGTTGTTTTAGCATGTTTTTAGCATGTTTTAGTAAGAATAAAAAGTAAAGTGCACTGCTGTTCATTTGTATAATTATGCGTGTCCAATTGCGGCTGCTCTTTACTATGACGCAACACTCACAATGAACCAATTGTGATGATGTTTATTCGAGCAGAGAAGTCGCAATGAGGTCGCAACAAAAAATGGCCGTACGGCAAGTCTGGCAAAGGCGGCACAGGCTCTCGCGCAATCAGAGCACGGGCTCTTCGTTATCTTCCGAAGGCGCATACGCGTTGGTGCGTATGCTCCACTACACTACCCCTGGGGTGAAGAGTAGCCATCCTGGCGACTCAGGGAGTAGGCACAATGAGGGGGTCGTAGTAGGGCTTGAGACGGTCGACGTGTATGGTCTCGCGTCCTCGACGGCGCAAATCTGGTGACTGTGTTAGTGGCTCGATGATGTAATTTACCGGTGAGGTTGCGTCAATGACACGGTACGGACCATGGTACCGGGGCAGAAGTTTAGAAGACAGGCCAGGAACGTGCGGAGGCACCCAAAGCCACACAAGGGAGCCAGCACGAAACGTAGGAGCCATGTGGTGAACGTCGACATGTCGAGTCTTTTGTAGACCTTGAGCCTCACTTGTCAGAGACTGAGCCAACTGACGGCAGTCTTCAGCGTATCTGGCGACTTCCAAAAGCGGGGAGCACTCAGATGCATCAGGGCGGTACGGGAGTATAGTGTCGAGTGGGTGGGAAGGTTCGCGGCCGTACAACAGAGAGAACAAGGAAAAACCGTTAGTCGCTTGCGTCGCGGTGTTATAAGCGAATGTAACAAAAGGTAATACAGCGTCCCAGTTAGTGTGGTCGGAGGAGGTGTACATCCTCAGCATGTCACCAAGTATGCGGTTGAAGCGCTCAGTGAGACCATTTGTCTGTGGATGGTATGCGGTAGATTTCCGGTGGATGATGTTGCACTCAGCAAGGATAGCTTGGATGACCTCCGACAGGAACACTCGACCCCTATCACTGAGTAATTCCCGTGGAGCACCATGGCGTAGAATGAAGCTGCGGAGAAGGAAGAGTGCAACTTCGTGGGCGGTCACTGCTGGTAGAGCTGCAGTCTCAGCGTAGCGTGTCAGATGACCGACGCCGACAATAATCCACCGGATTCCAGAGCCACTGTATGGGAGGGGGCCATAGAGGTCATTAATCACGCGGTCGAATGGGCGAGCCGGGCAGGGGAGCAGCTGTAACATGCCAGTGAGGTGCCGTGGAGGTGTCTTGTAAGGAAAAGGAAAAGCGTTCGGCCGACCAGAGGTCCGCAAGCTCCGCGGTGACCAGCGTCTACGCCACCGAGCCCAGCAGCCTGGCGAGACATTTACTAGTTACATTGAGGATGTGCTCGACCTCTGCAGGCGTGTTAACCCATCTATGCCTGATGAAGAGAAAATTCGGCAGATTCTCAAAGGTATTTAGGATGGCGCATTCCAGATGTTGCTATCGAAAAGCCCGACCACAGTGGCAATCCTCGTAAGCCTGTACCAGAGCTTCGATGAATTGCGCCGTCAGTGTTCCATCGCCCGACAGAGTGTCTTACCACCAGATTCGATCTCGGCCGTCGCACTCACAAATGCCGACGTTCACCAAGAAAGTCTGTCAAACCAGATCAAAGAGTTCATCAGAGAGGAAGTCGCCCGACAGCTCTCCCTGCTGCCGCATAGCGACGTGCCCACCGCAAGCCTGCCTTCGACACTTCAGCAGGCCATACGCACTGAAATTTCCGATGTCCTCCCTACAGTGTTGGTGCCTTACCCAGCACCTCCACCAAATGTGATGATGTTTATTCGAGCAGAGAAGTCGCAACGAGGTTGCAACAAAAAATGGCCGTACGGCAAGTCTGGCAAAGGCAGCACAGGCTCTCGCACAATCAGAGCACGGGGCTTTTCGTTATCTTCCGAAGGCGCATACGCATTGGTGCGTATGCTCCACTACACAATGACTAATTCGGTGTGGTGCTGTTGGAAACGAGAGGTGATGTGCCGCTGCACCGAGACCGGCAGGCATCCATCGGATTGTCTGTGGTGTTTCTTTTTTTTCAACAAGAAGCCATTTTATCCACTCGCTTTCAGCATCGTCCTCGCCGGCTGTTATTCGATGCTGAAGTTTTTTATTTTGCAGCATTTGAAGTGCACCGAAGCGGCAGAGCTTATAGGGACCCTGCTCCTAACTGCAGCGGACGAACACCGCGGGTTTACGCTTAGCGAGCCACAGGGCCGCTACTCCGTTTACTCGCGTGTAGCGCACCGCTCCGCGCGCGCTCAACTAATAAGGCGTTTAGCGCGGCGCGGCAAACAGACAGTGTTCTAATGCAAAACACAACACTTTATTGCCACTGGCGGTACCCCGAACAACAGTACAACGTCCGCTCCCGGGACGTGGGTAGCAAAGGCACCCGCACGCGGACGTTCACAATAAGGGGAAAACCGCGAGCACGTCGCAGCTGGCAATGGCGAGCTTTGACACGCCGGTCGGGAAAAGGTCCCTCGCGGCTATGCTGCGCACTCTCGCGATGGCCAATGGGCCTGGTCGCGAGTGTTAGGGCAAACCTCGTACGCGTAGGCCTACGGCAAGTGCGGCTCGTTGTGGTACGACCACTTCAAGCACTAGGCACCGCTGTGGGCTTAGCGTACGCTATTGAAGCTAGCACTCAAGTAAACACGCCTGCCGAGGTGCCCAAGGCCACCCCAGGCAGGCTACAGTCCGGCGATTCCCAAGGGGACGCGGACGAAGGAAAACACGTGCTTACCCGGCGCCGACCAACGGAAAAGAGCGCGCTCCCTCGGCGCGCGCGTACCGCGTGCCGTGCCCGCACGTGGCGCCATCTATCGCCACGTGGTGTTAACAGAGCGGGAAAGCAAAAGGGTGTGGCTGTGTGACGGAATGCCCGCGAAATGGTCGCGGGCATTTCGCGGGCATTTCGCGAAATGCCCGCGACCTCAGATCCCCACAAGCTTCATCGTGTTCCATCGATTTGGCAGTGAGAAGCAGCAACACGGGGTCTATTCTCTGCGTCGCTCAGATGCACTAAGCCACGCACCAAGCATATCGCCTGAGGGTATGGTGTACTACCGTGGCACGGTGTGAACCGTGCCATGAGGGCAGCCATTCTCGACGGTTGTAATTGCAGTCATTTGTGTGCAGTAAGGTGAAAGTGAAGTCTTTATGTGTGCTTCTGTGTTTTGTGGAATGTGCGCGTCTGTGATCTACCACCCACAATCGCCATGGCATCGGCGCTGCCACATGTGTGTGTTTAAGTGGGCTACTTGGGTGTCGCAGCGTGGAAATTTCGGTGATCTTTTGCGATATTCGCTGTGTTGTGCGTCTGCATGAGGGATGTAAATGCGGACTAGGTTAGCAAAAAAAAAAGCAGGCAGCAGAACCTGCTAGCGCAACACAGTACGAAAGTAAACAAACCAGGTGGGGATAATATGCTGTGGTATATGCATTACAGTCAAGCTTCGCTACAACGAAACTGACTTGGCGCGGAAAAAATTTCGTTGAAGCGAAAATTTCGTTGTAGTGAAATTGAAAAAATATAGCTGATCTGAGCTAGCAAAACAGCAAGACGAAGGAATATTTATTCTCAAAATTAAAGAAAATGTCCGCTGCTTCCTATTTTTTTTCCCAGCAGCGTCACGATGCGATTCTCACCCATGCATAGCGAGGCCTTTGTGAAAATCATGTTGAAACAAGGCCTACAACCGCTTTTGTGAACGAACCAAAAGCTGCATTAACTTGTTAACACCAGCAGCTGTCCGCCGTCAAAGTGTATCCGAATATGCCGAGATGAAGGCAGGGTATCATGGAGCGGTGACTTTTGCTTTATTCTATGCCATTCTTATCCACCACTTGCGGCTAGCTGGTTTTGTTGATAATGCGGACGAACAGCTGCTCTGATTAGTTATCACAATGGCCAAGCGCGAGCGAAATGATACGCATTGGCATCGAAAAAAGCATCGTTCTGCACAGCTGCGTGAAAGAAAACCATAAACTGAGCGACTGGGCTTCAGCTTCGGATCGTCTGTGGCTCACAAGTAATCTAGTGGTAAAAGCAGGACATGCTCATTGCCATCGCTATCGAGCAATGGTGGCGCCCACGCTTGCTGAACAGCGACGATTTCTGGCGGTGCCAACATGTGTTTTAGACATCGTCGACATATTTTCATGTTCTGAAAATGCATCAAAATGTTAAAGACTGTGTTTACTGTATAGCAATAAATATCCGAGCCTGGAATTGCATCGTGAAATTTCGTTGAAGCGGCATGGCAGAAGAAAAAGTGTTTGTTGTGGTGACAATATTTATGCATTGACTCCTATGAACTGCTGACGGGGAATCCTGAATTTTTCGTTGTAGCGGTAATTTTCTTGAAATGTCGTTCGTTGTGGGGGGCTAATTTGACATGTGTTTATGGCACAACTGCGTCACCTTAACGAAATGGATTTTCACTGGCTCAGAATTATGTGCTAAGTTGAAGTGCTTGTTGCATAAGTGCTTGTCTCATGCTCGATGCAAAAACGCTTTGCATGAAAAACACCGTGCAAGGTTTTTCAAACCATGATATGTGCGCTATGTAATATCGCTGCATCGAACGTGTTTGATGCAGCAATCATGATCAATCACGATCAGTTATATTGATCGTGATCGTTACTGAAACGACGCTGCTAAAACTCTTACTGAGCAAAAAAAATCTAGTTTTTCTAGGTGTTGTGTCATACCTAATGATATCCCATTAAAGCCTTACTTTTGCCTAATGTGTTCTTTTTTGTTGTTGTTTTTGTTTCTTGCATTTTGCCTGAATTGCATGCAAGCATTACGATGTGAGAACTTGTTTATATTATTAAATTAGAGACCCGTGAAAGAAAGCATGAAGGATGCATTGCACTCCCTTGTGAAAGCAAAGCTTGGCATGCAACACGTATCACTTATATTCGCTGGAGTGAGAAAACCCTCTTGCCTGCACAGACACACCTTCGTATAGACAGATTCACGGAAGGTAGCGGCCCCTGTTCCAGTAAAACTGGGTTCAACTTTGAAAAAAGTTGAACTGCGTTGTCAGGATCATGGCAACACCATGGAGTGCAAGTTCTCGAAGCAAGAAAAAAAAATTCCACCTATAGTGTTTAGTCACCACCACTTTAGCCATGTGCATCACCTTAGCATTAACCTAACGACAACATATGGAATGGCCCCCACTGTTAAACATAATATGCGCCATGCGCTTTTATTTTGATGAAACAAGATGTTGATTGAAACATTGGCGTTTTCCTTAAACACAATCACAAACACGGCGACGTGAGATGCACATTCGGTATATACGGCTGCACAAGAATCAAGGTCCGTCTAAGATCACTTATGCATTCTTCGTTTTGAGACATAGTCATACCTAACAATCCGGGAGACTCCAGTATTTTTACTCTTTCTTCCGTTTGTATGGTTGTCATGAAAATTTCCAGGAATTTGAAATTTCCGTGTATGATCTTGCCGCATTACCAAAAATGCAGGGAAATCCACTACAGGCTTTTTGCGAACACACCACATTTTATTATAAATGAATTTAGGAGGTGTTCATCTGAGCGTACAGTAGAATCTCAATGATGTGAAACCACGGCAGAAACGAATTCATGAAATCCTCCAGCCAACTTCGACTGTGCCTATTGGGTGAAAATTCCAGTGTTTCAAACACTTTTCCTAATCATGGCAAGTGATATGAACTTTAGTACCGAAATTGACAAACGAAGGCTGACAGAAACGTGCTCAAAGCTTTGCAAATACGCACTGTCTTCTACAGTGTGTGTCACTGTCATTGACACAACCGGTGTGGACAAAACTGCGGTCGTTCTTGACACGATCACGTATGGCAATACGTTACTGACAGAACTTCGAAAGTGTGCGTGCGTCCAACGCTTGACCAGTCAAAGCAACGCTGCTTTCCACAAACTCTGTGGACAAAACCGAGGCAGATGCAATCATAGATAGGATAAAGCAACTTAGTTTTGAAGGCACGTGCGCAGCCAGCGCACGCAGATTGAAAATGGAACTACTGTTTGCCGCAACCGCAGCACATAAATTCGCGGTCGCGGCGACGCAGTAGTGATCTATGAGCTTCAAGGGCATGCGGCTAATGCAGCGGTAGATTAAAGGCAGTAATGACGTAAAACAGGCTAGAAGCGTTTTGGCGGTCCTGTACAAAGAATCTAGTTGAGAGCAAAGCTTCAACCCGTGCTTTTGCGGCAGCCAGCTGCGCCGTCTCGTCTGTTCATATGTGTCCCAGGAAAACATGCGAGAGTTCTTTTGATAGAAATAGATTTTGCTGGTTGTTTTGATGACTTGAAATTTCGGGAGTATTTGCGCTCCCCCTTTGAGACTCTCACCTTAGTGGGAAGCCATACCCTCGTGTGTTCGGCCACTCTAAGCCCATGTTTGTGCTTGCAATTGGAGCCTTTCTCTCTCTTTTTTAACAATCTTTTCTGTTTTGTTTTTGGTGCAAATAATAGACGTCGAATAATAATTTAGCGCACCCCCCCCCCCCCTTCCCATTGCGGAAATCTCCCGGATTCAGAATCCTTGAACTTGCAGGTATGCAGCGAAAGCTTCGTAACACAACCAAAAATTGTAAATTACCTTACGAAATCTATTTAATGCCCCTGTCTGGTTTTGTGAAGCCACAAAAGAATGCTTCTTTCATTTTAAGCATGAGGTTAAATGTGGCATTGTTTGTTTTAGTACCACCATAGGTACTGCACAGAAACGTCACCTTCGAGAGTTATACATTGCTTCTTAGTGGAATCCGAGATGCACACAGGAGGCGAGAGCGTTGCAATTTAAACAACAGATGTATTGCTAGGCCGACGCTGAACTCCTTGCCTTCACAAGTTAATTTATTGAGCTTTGTTTTTGTTTATTTCAATATCAATGACGTATTGCATGATAATGGTTATGTGCGTGAAACTTATCACCATTGCTCGGGAACTACTTCCTATGTAGAGCGGAGGCATGGAAAATAAGTGCAATGCAGCTTTGATTGACATGTGGGGTTTAACGTCCCAAAACCACAATATCATTATGAGAGACGCCATAGTGAAGGGCACCAGAAATTTTGACAACCTAGAGTTCTTTAACATGCACCCAAATCTGAGCACACAAGCCTCAGCATTTTCACCTCCATTGAAAATGCAGCTGCCGCAGTCGGTATTCGATCCCGTGACCTGAGGGTGAGCAGCCGAATACCTTAGCCACTAGACCACCGCGGCGGGGCGTGCAATGCGACCTCGTGGGTGGAGCTTATATTTATTCTTAGGTTGTCGCTGACTATAGTGATGTATTTGATTCTGCTGATGATATTGTGGATGCAAACATAGTTAAACAAATGTTTTGTTTGGATTGGTTCGACCGCGTCTGTTCCAAGAGCATGGTGCCTCCTTTCGAGAATCCATAGGTTGTAAGATCAAGTTTTGGTGGCCTGAATTCTTTTGAAGAGATCTGACTTGTTTTTTTTTTCTTTTACTTCATATTCAACATTAAATGATGAGCCACGACTTCAATACCACGGAAAATTACTGCCAAGCCTCAATGCATGCTAAATAATTTACTAGCTTTTCTACAGCCCGCTCCAGATTCATTTTTAATGGGTATAGTTTTTACATCATGGTGAACAGAGAAGAGAGAGCTGAAAGGAAATGTCACTGTTTCAAAATGAGTGTTCACACTACAAAGCACCATTTTGGGGTACCTCTTTTCTCTATAGGAAAATCTATGGGTGCCTGTTGGCACTAGGAATCAAAACCAGTATGATATGGTCGGGGGATACCCATCACTCCTAATTTTTTCAGCAGTATCCGAAATTAGATCTTTCAGCACTGATGCCTTCCACAATGCATTTTTCCAGGTCTGGGTGGCCGAGAGCTGCCCTGAGTCTCGAATGCCGCACCTGACTCAGGCGCTGTGGATTGCATGTGGTGTCCATGGTATGCAGGTATGTCCAGCGTTGTGCTTTAGGGAAGTGCATTTGCTGCATTTAAGCTTTCGGTAGATTGTTCTACTATATACAAAACTTAACATACTTTTACTTCCATCGTTTCTGCATTGTTCCTTTTTCTAACCGGTGGAAACAGTGTTAAAGCTGTATATTGACGAGGCATCATCAAACCAGCATGGCGTCTGCATTTTCAAGAGGTAGCATTTATCGGAGCACTTTTTTTTTTAAACAGACGTTTGAAATGAGTTCTTGCGTAGTTCCTGCATTTTCAGAATACCGGGCATCACGAATTGGCAGTGCCTGCTTTCCTGGAAATTCTTGTCAGTTTGTTGTTTGTACAACTTCTTGAACAAACCGAACACAACTGTTTTCCCTCAGTCCCCGCTGTGATACACATCGAATCCCACTTTTGTTGCTTCCCCTTTGCACCTCCTGTTCCCTCTCCCATTGTTTCTTTGCTCGCATACTTGCGTCTCTCTTCAGTAAGAGCGAGCAAGATGAATGCTTCTAATCAAAGCGCCTGCTGTTGTGATGAACACAACCGTCTTTCAAACGTTGGCTCCATTGACAATCCTTGTTTGATGGTTTGTCATCACTTCAGCCTCCAGCTTCCCATGAACTTGTGTGTTTTGTTGCATTGCATTCCACGTAACGTTTTCGACATAGGCTACTTGTTGTTTTTTGCCTTCATCTTCCACGAAGGTGAGCTCTCCTATTGGGCTTGTGGTCGTGTCATATTTGCTGTGTTGATACGGTGCTATGCAACATCGTACGGTCCTGGTCACGTAGGTACTCAAACCAGGCTTATGTCTCTTGCCCTCTTGCTATGCAGGTGTGGCTGCCACTGTTCCTGCCGGGCGACACTGCGGGTGCCAAGCATGCCTTCATGGCAAAGCGTATCATGCTGCCAATTGCTGTCCATATCTACCCCCTCGGTGAGCAGCTATGCAGCCATTGAACTTGATTTTAGCGGCAGGGGACCTCCTCACTAAATGGCTACTTTCAGAAACGAAACCATTCGAAGAGCTGAATCAGAGTTGTCCCATTGAGCTGTTGCACAAACACTACGAGTGTCTTTTTTTAGATTTCTTAATTGTTTATTTCTGTTCACAAATGATAATTTCTATTTAACAACTGTTTCTGGTGTGTGGGTGGTAGTCTTTCCTGAAAACTGAACACTGTACTATCATTTCATTGCTCTGATGGGAACCTTTCCTAATGAATCCAAAACCACTGCAAAGGTAGATTTTGCAGTTGTGTAATCTGTAAGTCTGTCTGAGCACCTAATGGGGGACAAGTTTTGTGGACATGTTTACCGCTTACATGAAATCGTTAACATGCTTGAAAGAATTGAAAAAGTCCCACTCCCAAATTAGTCCTGTACTTATAAACAGAGAAAAAAAATTGACTGAAGTGCCCATTTTAGATGTCCTAATTGTGTAGCTCGTGAATCTGTGAAATTTTTAAAGTGCTCGTATAAGTCGGGCTTCTAAATTAAAGGCTGCCTATATTGCGATAAATAGATTCTAACCTGCTTTTAAATGTTACAAGCGCCTTCTGAATTGGTGTGGAAGTATGTAGTTGCCACGGACAGCAGTGTCTTCATTATGATTTATTTAGATAGGATCCCCCGAACAGAAGCTGTAACCCACTCCCCTCCACAATGCCTCAATATTTAAAAGATATGCAATGCACTCAAACCTGTATATAACGAACATGAATGTAACGAATTATCAGTTATAACCAAGTAAATGAAAAATAGTCTTGCAATAGATGCAGTGTTAAGAGTAAACAAACTTTCATATTGAATTTTTCAGATATAACGAACTTATTTTTGTGTAAAATACAATGTTGTCATAATGAGGTTTGAGTGTATAAATAAGTAAATACACTATTACCTCACTATAACTAAGTCACATTTGACAAAAAATTACCTTCATTATATCCCAAACTTTTTTATAATGGTATTTGTAACACTGCATTTAAGGCAAGACTATTTTTCGTGTATTTCATTAGTACCAATAATTCGTTATATTTGTGTTCATTTTATCGAGGGTTGAGTGTAAATGAAGACAGGCTTATAATAGGATTCAGAGTGTGACTGTCTCCCCTGTGTTTCAGCCGTGCTTTTTGAAGAAGCTGTGGTTCTCGGTGCAGAAAGCGACACAGCACTCTGCGGCAGTGACCCTTTTCCTCTTTGTGTTGTCTCCAAGTCAGTAAGTTCAGTAGTCCACGATTTCCTAATCTATCAGTGAAAGTTAGGCTTGCTGATTGACTGTAACAAAAATCAGCGACCCTATCGCTTTTCTTCTTTTTTTTCACTGTCCAAAGCGAAGTTTTTTCAACTAGCCTATGTTCATGTTGTAGGCATTTGTGCCACGGCTTGCAAGCTTTCATAAAGCTTGTAGTCATAGGTATCGATTGACAAGCAACGTCGGTATTTTTGGGTGAGAAATCTTAATTTTATGCTTGAAGCAATGTGTGCTGTCTTTTATTGCTGCAGCTTGAAAGGGCCTTGACAGTCCTACATTCAGCCAAAGATGTCATGTGACCTTTTGCATTCCTTCAGAAAAATTGTACCATTCCGTGTTGCAATTTTTTTGATTGACATCTTTTTTTTTCTTTTTTTGGCAGTTTCGAGTTGATGGAGTTTTAGTGTGTTTGTGCGTGCCAATTTTCTTCCCGGTGTTTAGTTGTTACCATTTTTAATCACCACTCACATTTTTGCTGCTTGTAGCAGCGTGGCTTCGTGGCGATGTCAAGGTATCTTTGGTGAAATCAATTTAAGCAAAGTTCATTTGCGGTCTACACTACCATTTCCTGAGTGAAATTTTTAGCAAGTGAATAAACACCATCTTTGTACTACGTACATTTAGCTATCGCGCATTTGTAGCTTTCTCGATTGCCAGCCATTCCACCCATGCTGAAAGTTGTTGCCGACTCGCACTGTATTGGCAAGTCATTGCTGCGATTGTTTTTCAGAGTCAAGTCTACTTGCATCTAATTCTTCGCCAGCTGCTTTGCCGCAAGTGAGTGCACACTTTCATTCCTAGGTATTTGCAGGTAGCATAGGGATCAGTGTTTGATGTGGAAGTTAGAAAAAAGCTAGCCTTGAAGTAGCAGCAGAGGACGAAAATGCTACATAGCGTCATTGGTGTCTCTTGCAGCATTCGTAGCTACCAACTCTATCAAAGTAGCCACTTGTGATGAAATCATTCTTTTAATTCGAAAAGTGAAGATGCGCATTTTATTTCTTTACTGTTGTCGCTTTTCTCGTAAACCATGTGTGTCTTTACATACTTTGCATCCACACTGTGTCTACACATTCCAGGCATTGTAGTGCATTGAAGGTTAGTAGTACTATATAGTTACTTGTATTTTATTTGTAACATAGCCCAAAACATAACAGAAAGGTCTTTAATGCAAAACAGGTGTTACGCTTGCGCATGGTACTGGGATAATTTCTGACGACAAGTTACCTCTCTTTTTCTTCTTTTTATATTTTGTTTCATGGTCCTTTTTGGTTGTGGCATTGCACGCATTGCATCAGATGAAGAGCCGAAGTTGTGTGCTAACAGCAGTGATGTTCCGAGCAGTGTGCGTTGTGTAAGGCATTTTTGTGAGCAACTTCCACATTCGCTTAATCCAACTCTATAGAAATAAAGAACTTCTTATTTGAAATCTCAATTTTTCTTTTTGCAAAACACAAGCATTTTGTTCAGTGCACACACAATTGCCACCGAGCAATCTATGTGCTGTACTTGATTGTTGCCTGTGCCCACACCTGGAGAGGGACCTTTTGAGAAGAGTGACGACATTGCGAGCCTCGTGCTCCCTTATTGCAGCCTGGGCTACCACGCGTGGGAGATAGCGCGCAGCTGCGCTGAACTGCCGTACTTCCACCACTCGTTGGAGTTGCTGCTGCATGAGGTGCTTGAAGAAGAGGCCATGTCATCGGAGCCCATTCCAGGTGAGCGCATTGAGTTGAATTGATCTGAATCAAATTTATTTTGCCGCATAAGTACAGTGCTGCACTGTGCTTGCAGATTAAAATGAAACATCAGTTTAAGTGGTTGCTTGGGAGTGCTGATACGACATATAGGAAAGAAACAGCACAAGAAATGAAGAAGCAGACAAAAAACTACATATTGTAACGCACTCTTCAATAAACCCTTTTAATACGCTAACGTACGCTGAGCGAACTTGTGCCCGAGAATAATAGCACAGCTCGATTGTCTCGAGGATTCCCTTCTGCCTCTTCTTCTACGTTCTTCTTTTTTCCCAACACGGTTCGCGCGCAGCTGGGTCCCGCAAGCTCGTGCATTGCAAATCATCTAGAAGGCACAAGTATTTGCTAGCGCGCGTCATTTGAAGTCACATTGTGTCATTGCCCCCCTTTCCAGACTGCATCGTCCCGATGCTTGTGTCAAACTGGTTGCATGGCAGTCATTCACAAACCGTCGTCGGGGATGTCGTTAACGTCAAAGAACGTTGTATCTTCAGCGTTTCATTGCCTGTTGTGATATGGTTTCATCCTGACGACATGCACAGTTTCCGTGCGATGCCGCCGTCGGGATGAAATATCCTGTCCCTCTGGCATAACTTCGTAGTTGAGCGAGCCGACGCGGCGGAGCACTCTGTACGGACCGAAATAGCGGCGAAGCAGTTTTTCTGACAGGCCACGTATTCGTACAGGAATCCACACCCATACTCTGTCTCCTGGTGCGTACTTTCTGACAGGCCACGTATTCGTACAGGAATCCAGACCCATACTCTGTCTCCTGGTGCATACTGGACGTCTCTTCTTCGCAGATTGTATCGATGCGTGTCGGTTTTCTGCTGTTGGAAAATGCGATATCGTGCCAGCTGTCTGGCTTCTTCTGCTCTTTGTATGTAGTCGTGAACGTCATAGTAATTCTCGGGCGTCTCGTCAATAGGTAACATTGCATCTAAAAGTGTCGTTACCGTCCGGCCAAAAACAAGTTGGAATGGCGTCATCCGTGTTGTCTCTTGCATCGCAGTGTTATAGGCGAATGTTGCATAGGGTAATATTTTATCCCAAGTACGGTGTTCTATATCAACGTACATTGACAACATATCAGCCAGCGTTCTGTTCAGTCGTTCCGTAAGACCATTTGCTTGAGGATGATATGCCGTCGTTTTTCTATGACTGGTGTGCGTCAATTTCATGATACATTTCATCAGGTCGGCCGTATATGCAGTCCCTCGGTCCGTGATCAACGCTTTTGGAGCTCCGTGCCGCAGTACTATGTTGGAGACGAAGAATTCGGCTACTTCAACGGCTGATCCTTTAACAAGAGTAGCTGTCTCGGCATATCTGGTTAAATAGTCGGTCGCAACTATTATCCACCGTTTTCCCGATGACAAAGTAGGAAATGGGCCCAGTAAGTCCATTCCCACTTGTGTGAATGGGGCTTCTGGTGGTTCTATCGGTTGAAGGAGACCTGCTGGTTTTAGCGGTGGCGTTTTACGTCTTTGGCAGTCCCGGCAGGTTCTGACATAGTGTCGTACAGAGCTAAGCAACTTCGGCCATTAGTATTTAGTGCGGATGCGTGCTAACGTTCTGCTTACTCCTAAGTGTCCAGCTGATGGATCGTCGTGGCAAGCCTCCAAAATCTCTGGTCGCAGAGGTGAAGGGACGACAAGCAGGAATGTCGCTGTATTGTTGTCAAAGTTCCTTTTATACAGGATGTTGTTTCGTAGGACAAACGCTGACAAGCCGCGGACAAAAGGTCGTGGAACATCGACAGACTGTCCTTGTAAGTACTTGATCAAGAGGAGTATCTCAGGGTCAGATCGCTGCTGATGTGCCATCTCTGATGGTGTCACAGCTCCCAAGAAAATAAAATCTTCACCATCCTCGGTGGAAGCAGAAGCAGCAGGTTGAATCGGAGCACGTGACAAGCAGTCCGCATCACTGTGCTTGCGACCTGACTTGTACACAAGCGTGATATCATACTCCTGTAATCGCAAGCTCCATCGTGCAAGCCGTCCACATGGGTCCTTGAGATTAGCCAGCCAGCATAGCGAATGATGGTCGCTTATAGCCCGAAAAGGCCTACCATATAAATATGGTCGAAACTTGCTGATAGCCCATACCACGGCAAGGCATTCTTTCTCGGTCGCTGAGTAGTTCACCTCAGCTTTCGAAAGAGTGCGACTGGCATACGCAATGACTCGTTCTTGTCCGTTTTGCCACTGGATGAGCACGGCCCCAAGACCTAAATTGCATGCATTCGTGTGGATATCGGTTTCCGCTTCCTCGTCAAAATGCGCCAGAACAGGATGGCTTTGAAGGCACTTTCGTAGTTCATTGAAGGCACCCTCTTGTTCGGCAAGCCATACGAAAGGCATTTCCTCTTTTGTCAGCCGTGTCAGTGGTTCAGCAATTCGTGAAAAATTTTTAACGAACCGTCGATAATAGGCGCAGAGACCTAAAAATCGCCTAACAGCCTTTTTGTCTGTTGGTTTCGGAAATCTTGCTACGGCCTCAGTTTTTTGCAGGGTCTGGGCGGACGCCTTCTGCACTGATGACATGGCCGAGAAAAAGGAGCTCACGGAAGCCAAAATGACATTTCTGCGGTTTTATCGTCAAGTCCGCTGATTTGATCGCAGTGAGCACGGCCCGGAGCCTTTCCAAATGTTGCTCAAAGATAGCAGAGAAAACTACAACATCGTCGAGATAAACCAGACATGACTGCCATTTAAGACCACAAAGCACTGTGTCCATCATCTGTTGGAATGTGGCGGGTGCTGAACAAAGGCCAAAAGGGAGTACCTTGAACTCGTATAAACCGTTCGGTGTCACAAACGCTGTCTTTTCGCGATCTCTTTCGTCAACTTCTATCTGCCAATACCCACTTTTAAGATCCAATGAGGAAAAATACCTGGCATTTCGCAGCCTATCCAGAGTGTCATCAATTCTTGGCAGAGGATAAACATCCCGTTTGGTGGCGGCATTCAGCTTCCGATAATCAACGCAGAAACGTAAGGTTTGGTCTTTTTTCTTCACAAGAACAACAGGTGACGCCCATGGACTTGATGAAGGCTGGACTACATCGTCTTTGAGCATTTCTTTAACCTGATTACCAATAGCTTCTCTTTCTCTGGGTGACACTCGGTAGGGATGCTGGTGTATTGGCCTCACTGACTCGTCGACAATGATGCGATGTTTGGCGACAGGAGTGCGTCGAACCTTAGATGACAACGAGAAACATTCGGCGAATTCCCTTAAAAGACCCTCTATTTGCTCTTTTTCGCTTGGTAGTAGGCCTGGCTCGATGTCGATGGCTGCAAGGACAGACTCCACGTCTTCAAAATCAGAATCATTGGTTTCAAAAGTTCGCAACTCCGTAACCTGGACGAAATCATTCAGACTGGCGATAACGGTTCCTTTTGCAACATGCTGCACCTCATTTCCAAAGTTTGTGAGTAGAACGTTTGCACATCTGTCACGTAACTTAACAAGGCCTCGTGCCATGCAGATCCCTTTTTGGAGTAGTAAGGCAGTGTTGTTGTCAGCAAATCCTTCGAATTCACTGAATGCTTTGTTGTTTACTGCGACAGATATGCTCGATCTTGGCGGCACCATGACGCCATCATCTGCAATACAAAGGTCATATACGTTTTCTTCCGTTTCAAAGGTAGCAATCACGTGCCTAGTCGAGAATGAGACGGAAGATTCTCGCAAGTTAATTACAGCACCATTAGCTCGTAACAAATCCATGCCGATAATCAAGTCTCTTGAGCATTCCGGCAGCACAATAAAACTGTCGACGTACGTGAAACCCCGTATTCCGATTCTTGCTGTGCACATTCCAGTAGGGTCGATGAGGTGCCCTCCTGCTGTGTGAACTTGTGGTCCCTTCCAAGGAGTCAGCACTTTCTTTAGTATTTTAGAAAGTTCGCTACTCATCACTGAATAATCTGCGCCGGTATCTACCAGTCCGATGACTTCGTAGCCGTCAACGAACACACGCAAATCGGAAGCAACGTCACTATCGAAGCACCGGTTTCTGAATCGGTCGTCGTTGAGAGTCAGCACTGGAGGTTTTTCTGCATTAGCGTCGACAGCGGCCTTGCCTCCACAGGTCGCTGACTCTAGTTTTCCGGACGTGGGCTTGGGGAACGAGACCTTGGGGAGCTTGCTGAAGGTCGGGGGCTAGGCGATCTATACCTCCCCGTTGTCGTTGCCCGAGGTTGGTGTCGTTGGAAGCCACTTGAGGTTTGACGACCTGACAGGTATTCTTCAATTTCGAAGGGACGTTGTAGCGTAGCGTATGTTTATCAGCTCGCGACTGCTTCTGCGCAGAGCTGATAAGACGAGCGGACGAGACGACGGTGAGTTAAACAAGGTTTATGTACAGCATATATACAGAGGCGTTACAATTTCGGCACTGGGGCCGACAGAGACTCGAAGAGCCGAGCTCTCCTCTCTAATACATAGGTCAACTTTTCGCCTAAGACCGCCGACTCATACACATGTCGGCTCTCCGACATGGGGACTCCTCTCTCAGGACCGCCGATCGCGACGCGTCGCAGGGCTTCTTTTATTTGCACCGGGTCCAACCAAAATGTCCAATCAGAAGCGCCGCTGGTCGTCAAGGCAGATTCCTCCAATGGGGTCGCCGCGCCATGCGTCAGACCACCAGACACGAGGACGCCGGCTCGCTGTCACGTGCGCAGCTGACTCAATGCACGTGGGCCAGAGATGCGCCGCGCGTGTTCACGCCGTCGAGTTGTTCGCGCCAGGCGGACTGCGGGCTGGCCTTGACCCAGATTGCCTTTTTCAGAGGCACAGACGTTTGACGAGGACTCGCTGGCATAACAGCACCCCCGCCGCCAGACAATGCACCGGAAAGACGAGCTGCTTCCACGGGGCTCGGATGTCAGGTGCGCTCGTTCGCCAGGTCCCTCCAGGTTCGCCTCCAGGGCCATGGGGAGAATACA